TATATATAAACTGTAACTGGAGTGAAATTACAAAAGTAATTTCCCTCTGGGATTATTAAAGTATTTCTGATTCTGATTGATGACTGAAAGACATCTTCTGCCTCATTCATCTGTTTACTACAGTGTGTTAAATTCATGTTAATGTGGATTTAAAGACATTTCTATTAGTGGAGAAAATTGTAGAGGGGAATATATATATAAAAAAAAAAAAGTCTATAATCAACCAAAACTTTTGCGACCCTCATGCAGTACCTCTGTGGACCCCCTGGGGGTCGCGGACGCCCTTTTGAAGACCTCCGAGCTAAGATGTTAGGGACAGGAGCAGCTGGTCACATCACGGCTCTAATGACTAACATGAAATCAGAAGAAGTCCATCTCCATCAGTCAGTGCGGTGGACGACACCAGACCTTCAGTGTCAGATGAAGATCAGAGCTGTTGGACACGAGACGTTCAGGAAAAGGAACCAGAAGCTGGTTCACATCGTCCCTCTAACCTAAAAAACCTTTCATTTCTGTTTGGAATCTAAGTTAAATAAAAGCGGTTCCATCTTCAACGTGTCAGAAGGTTTTTATTCACAATATTCAGCTTTTATTTAAAGTTTAATGAAAATCACAACAGAGGTATGGAGCTTAGAAACGGTTCAGCTTCTACTGGGATATTCTTTGCAGGTTCCTCTGTGGTCGAAGGAACTTTCTACAGAACATCATCAGTCCACTTCAGTCCTTATTGCGATGAAGACGTCATAAAGCGTCGTAGTCATCGTCGTCTTCGTGCTTCCTCTTCAGAGAGTCTCCGCCGGTGCTCTGAGACACCATGTTGGTGGTGATGAGGATGTTCTTAGAGCCGATAAGAGACTGGTTGATGAGGACGTTGGACACGGCGGGCGTGGAAGGCGTTGCTATGGAAACACAAAGGAGTATTTCTTATTTCTCTGATGATTTGAAGCTAGATAAAATGTGGATTAAATAAGATTATTGGACAGTTAAGTATAATATTTGCTCTATAAACAGGTCTTGTTTTTATCCTTCTGCAAATCTCAAGATGTTTTGAACTTTTAGAGCAATTGTTTAATTTCTATCCACGCGTATTTTTAATACCTTTAAAAACAGATTTTCATTTGCTGTGATGAGTCGGAGGGAATAGTTAAAAAGATATTTTTGAGCGAGAAGGTCGACCTGAAAGCTCCGCTTCTCTTATAGGTTGATATTCAGTTCAGATTTCCAAACTCTGGTGTCGGTCCCTCTGGAGGCTCTGGAAGCTGGACGGTCATCAAGCTGCGGACGCTCACACGGCATCGTTAGACCTCTTGGCGCACCTGGACTGCATGTTAATCAGACGCTCTGATGCTGAAAACATTTTTTTTTTGTTTGTTTATTTGTTTTAACTTCTCTTGTTTTTTTTTTATGCATCTGTGTGTCGTTACTAACCTCTCTCTCCCTTTTTGTGCTAACACCTTTTAAAAGCCTAACCAGGGACGAAGGCTGCAAATTAGCCCATGGCTACAAGCCTTATGTACTTGGACATCGGCCACCTGTTTGGTTGCAATGTTTAATTGTACTGTCCCTGTCAAATAAACAAATAAATAAAAAATTAAATGTCTGATCTGAACGCATCATAACTCTGAGACGAATGGAGATGTTTGGAGTTATATTATCATCATAATCATCTTCTTCTTCTACAGCAAACCTGCCGTTAGTTTGTTTCTTTAAGTTAAAAATAAACTCAGTTGTTCTACTAATGAGTTTTCTAGGGAATCTTTATGAATTTGAACAAACAGACCAGAACCTGATCTGCTGGTGACACGCTGCCCCCTGGTGGTGACCCTGTTACACTTTTCATCGTTTCTCTTTTTGGGAGTCAAAGTTTTATTCTATGGTCAGAAATTGACCAAAAACGCTCATAGAATGGCAAACTTTAGGATCTTATTTCTGAACTGGATGGATTCCTCCTGTGCTGAGACGCTCTATTGGTTTCAACAAATCTTTAGATTTTTAGGTAGTTAAACGTCTTTAAGCGTCGCCTTTCCTCCTCATCAAACGGCTCTGAGAACAGCTGCTGAGGGACCTACGCCTGCTTCATCTTCATGGTCCGTCTGACCCAACGGGACAGAGGCTCTGAACCAGGATCAGAACTCCTCACTGGTTCAGTTTTTACAGCATTTAGTCAGCGGGAGGAAGGAGGGGCTTACTGGGTTTGGTGGTGGCGGTCTGGGAGGCCGATGGGATCTGAACCGTGAACCTTTGACCCGTCAGAGACACTGGAGCTCCCACCTTGGTGGAGACCGACTGGACTGAAGGAGTTCCTGTGGAGCAAACATGGGTCGGTTAATGTGGTCTAAACCGGCTGCATGACGGCGCCGCTGGAGGAACTCACCCAGAGTGGGAGTGCTTGGCCTGCTGGAGACGGCGCCGACGCTGATGCGAGGAACCGTTATCCTGCCGGCGGACGAAGACACCTGGAGACGAGAGCAGATGAAGGTCAGAGGATCAGGGCTGCTGCATAATGAGGGTGAGGAAGAGGAGCCTCCACCTTCTTCTGGATGGACTTCAGTCTGTAGTTTGGCGCCGTCAGACAGTACCGGTCCGGAGGAAGTCTGGGCCCGGTGTAGGGCTTGATGAGAGGAAGAGGAGTCTGGTTCTTCTGTCGCGCCACCTCCAGCAAGAACTGAACACAGAGCAGAAGGTCTTCATCAGACCGGGGGGGAATGGAGAAGTCCTGGAGGTCCAAACCAGGAGGAGGAGCTTACATCACGTGGAGGAGGGGAGGTGAAGGACTGGTCCATGCGGCACTGGATGGCCAGCTTGATGTCGTCTGCGTCAACGTTGGACTTCTTGGCGTGCGTGGCGTAGATTTTAGCGTCTTCTATGATGGTCGTCACGTATCCTGGAGACGCAGCAGAGCAGGACAACTAAGACAGCAGAACCTGGAAGCACTTTGGATCCATTAGAGTTTAACAGAGTATTCCACCAGAAAGCCTGAGCAGGACTTACTGTAGGTGAACTCCAGCATCTGGTTGATGACCCGGGGCTCGTACTCAGTGACACCCATGTCCTTCAGGATCTGCATCATCACCTGAAACAAGGTCAGAACAGCATCAACAGTTCTGTCCTTCAGGAGGAGAGCATCTAACACCGACATCCAAATTAACGACCCTCGTTAGGCAGCTAAGCTGCATCGAATGACGGCGTCAGAGGAAGACTAATGGAAGACTCCCTAGTTTCCAGGATCGCAGCCATGAGGGGCGGGGCAGGAACATGGCCTTGTTCTAGTAGAGTTCACCATGTTTGGTGGAGCTTTAAAAGGCAGTGTCGTGCCAAGATGTTTATCCACACAAAAATTTGTATCCCCTCCCCGGGAACACGCACAGAGTTCATTCCACCGATCGTCGGATTGGTGACATATTTCCGCCCTAAGGCGCAAAAATGTCAGCTCCTCTGCAATACAGAGGTATAGAAGAGCTGTGAGAGCACCAAAGCTCTGCCCTGAGGTGACAGGAACTGTCCCCTTATCAAGAGAAGCTGGAGGTGAAACCGTTTGGACCTGATCAGCCGAACATGAAAATTAATTAACAGGTCAAAGACAGAGGGAGACGATGACTAACTGCATGCAGCGAGGCTAAGGTTTTATCCTGCTGCATTAACTGCCTGCCTCCTTTTTAAAACATCAGGATCTGACCCAGCATGGATAAAGACAGGCAGGACTGATTTAAATCACTTTTTAGAAAAGGCAAAGAAGGATAAACAATCTGGGATTCACATGGAAAATAGTAGAATATAGTGTACTTTTTCTAGATGTTTGTTAATTACCATAGTTGCTCTTAAACAAAAACAGTTTTTCTATATTAAAAGAATATAAAGCTGAGTAATAGCTTCTACATTATTAAACTGGTAGATAAAACACTCATTTTCCTTCACAAAGCCTCAGAAGGGCAACATCTGTGTAAAAAAAAAAGTAAACCTGTACATGAAATTATGTTTTGTTTTTATAAAGTGTTTTTATTTTACATTTGATTGGTTTTTGGTACATCTGGCCACTGTTTTTCACCAGTTTGAGGACAAAAATGTGACAGAAAACTGAGGAGCAGAGTCAGATCCATCAAACCGTCTGGAAACGTGATTTGTTTTGGTTTCTTTGGAACAAGTTCTGGTTCTGGATGAAACATGGATGATTGAAAGAGCAGAGACCCTGAGAACAGGCAGCTGATGCTGAACATTTACAACCATCATCCTCAGGGCTCCTCTATGCTAAATGCTCAAACCTGCTCCTCTGCTCTGATCATTTTTCATTTATCTGGTTTTCCAGAAACCATAAAAACATCAAGAACTTTAAACTTTATTTCAATGAGATGGAAAAAACTAACTAAAAAATTTCCTCATAATTAAAACATTTCTAAACTCTTTAAAATTGCCGACAGGTGATTAAAGTTGAGCTATTATTGTCTCTATTATCAGCTTCATGTCTAAGGATTTTTAACCTATTGCATTAAATCATTTTTTATTTGGATATTAATCCTTTTTTAAAGCTGTCGTTGGTTAGAGGCCCATGTTTGGTTCATTGCTGAAGCTAAAAACAGCGCGGAGCTAAATGCTAACGGCTAAGCTAAAAGCTAAACAGCGTCTCCGTTCCTTCTAAGCTCATTTTAAGCAAAAATGTCGTCTTATTAAGTAGCTTCCGGAGTTCAGTCAAATCAAACATTTTGATCAGATGTGTTCTTTAAAGTTACCTGAGCATCTTTGGGGATAGTTTTCGGAGCAGACATCTTCACGCCTACTGCTTCTGCTGCTCCGCAAACAACAACAACAGAAACGGAAACAGGGTGAAGTGCTGCCACCTACCGGTAGGAAGGTGAAGGTAAACATTTCTGCCCCCAGTGGTAAGGAGGCTAAAATGAAAACAATGTTTAAAAGATCTAATCAATAATTGAATAGAATCTTTTTTTTAGATAATTTAACAAAGCTTTAGAGCAACCAGTTGTTTGATTCCTCTGTAATAATCTAATGATTATTATGTCCAAAGGCTGTTATGTTAATCAGGTGTCTCATTACATTTTGTGTCTGTTATAAAATATGTTCAGTAGTTTAATCTCCTCCACGATAATCACATTTCTTTATGTTTTTTCCTGTGATAAAAATGTGTGTCCAAAGCTGTGATGTTTCCTTCCTCCTCTTTCAAAAAAATCTTTGATACTGTTTTCATCTGAATCATTTTAAACCATCTTATGCAATATTTCTTTCCATCACTTCTTTCTTTAGAATGATCTTTTACTGTTTTCTGTTCAACTGAACCTGATTTTTCTATTTCAATAAAAAAATGAATAAAAAAACTAGTTTCTAACTTTGGAAGTTTGTCTGATTTAATGTCCTTGTAAAATTAATTTCATCTTTTATATCGTAAGCAGTGTTTTCTGTTTGTTTTAATATCTTTTCTCTTTGTTTTGTTACTGATTTTTGTTAAACTGGAATATGAAAGAATTATTGATCTAAAAAGCTGATTTTCTTTATTCTATTGCAGAACGTTTCCACCATTTCAGGCTCAGCGTTAATGACCTGATCTGCTGTTTTTTTAATGTGTCTGTAAATATTTAACAATTTATTCCTTTTTCTGTGAGTATGAGAAGCCTATCTGATACTATTTGGGTTGGACAGTTTTATTTTGGGCCTTTTTAGATTTAAAGCTGATTTAACTGATCATCCATCTTAAGGAGATTATCTAGTTTCTACCAACAAAGATCCAGGAAATCTTTAAAACTGTCAGATGTTTTCATAGCCTGACCTTAAATTATATTCAGTGATTCAGGTTCAGAGAAATATGATGATATGAATTGATGGTGAAGTGACTTCCTGTCTGCTTTCCAGTCTCTCCCACTTTTACATCACTTTTCACCTTTATCCTTGAATTGTTCAGAATCAGGCCTCCTGCCTGAGAGTCAAACTGTTAGGATTTTTAAAAATCATTTTCAAAAAGGATTTTATGTCACAATTTGATTGTTTCATCTTTACTTGATTTTATTGTATTTTCTATTCTTTTTATCTTATACAAATGTAATTGTTTTTACTATGATTTAGCCCAGCTACGATTTAGCTGTTTAACAACTTCCCCAAATAAACTTTATTGGTTCATTTCCTTGAGTATTTATCATCAAATTAGATCCAAAGAAGCTCAAATCATTTTACTTTTTCTATTTTTCTATCAATATAACCTGACTTTATGGTCATTAATAATATTTTACTTAAGAAACGATAAAATGATCCTTTTTATTAAATCCTGTAAATTTCAGATCCATTTATTTCCTCCCCAGCTAAGTTATATCTCCTTTTATATTTTTTTAAACATGAACTCTAAATTTTCCCTGTTTTTTCACAAAGGGTCTTCATCATTAGTGAAAGTCTTAATCCACATTTTATCGTCAGACGTGTTGTTTGAATGGTAAAACTAAAATATGACAAAAGGAATAACTTAATAAGTCAGAAAAATGAAATAAGAAAAAAGTAATAAAACAATATTTGAAACAAGAGATTAGAGCTTTATAAATGAATAATATATTAAAGCATAAATATAGAAAAATGTTATCACTGAAAAGGCTGGGGAAATATATTTATATCTAATAAACAGCATTTTTAAGTTACTTAAATGAAGGGAGAGTCAAACTGGGTCCTTTTTAAACATAAACTTAAAGACTTTTTATTGAGAGGTCAGACATGTGAACATTAATAATCTAACTGATCTGATCTTGTATCTGTGATGCTTTAGTGTGTAATTTGTTCTGTTGTTTCTTGTGTACAGTCACTGTGTTTTGTGTAAAAGCCTAACTGGGGACAGGCATTGAGAATTAGCCTTAGCTAAAATGTTGTAGTGTGTGACATGATTCATGAAACATACTTGTCCCTATCAAATAAACGAATAAAAAAAAATCACAAGATACCAACAATTATCATAAGTATTATCATACTATTATTACTAAATTACTAAAACTCAAATGCATTATTTTATTTTGTCATATACTGTTCTTCTAAACATCCTTGATGATGATCAAACTGTAAAGTTTGGTTCCAGCTTTCAGGAACATCTGTCTGAGATTTTGGCTCTGTCAGTTTTTTGTTGAAAATGTTTTGAACTTTGCTACTTTAGACCCAAAAGACTCCAAATACAGACTCCAAATAAAATGTTTTCCAAAAGAGGGAAACATTGAAACACTGAGAAGCCTGCAGGTGATGCTGAGCAGCCTGCAGGGGGCGCTGCAAGCCAGCGAACGTCATGACAAGAGGTCCCTGCGTTTTCTCATGTTTCAGTCACCTGAGTTATAAATCCTTTAAAAATCTATTGAGGAAATTCAAACTTCCTGGCCTAATATCCTAATGAATAATCAATATAACATTAATCAATTGATGATCAATAAAACATAAATAAACGATCAGTAGATGATCAAAAAGAAATAAATGATCATAAAATCACCAATAAATCATCAATAAAAAATAAATAAATTATCATAAGATGATCAAAAGATGGTCTATAGATTATTGATAAATTATCCTTAAATGAACAAGAGATGATTATTTAGAAATAAATTATCATAACATTATCAATAGAGGGTCAATAACAATAAATAAATAAATGATCATTAGATTATGAATAAATGATCAATAAAAATAAATAAATGATCAATAGATGATCAATAGATGTTCCTCTCAGAGTGGATCCATGTCTTGCTGTCTGCTTGGGATCAGAGGAACCTTAATAAACGGATCGGCTCTTCAGGCTGAGAACATGGAGCTCCTCTTTGTTCCTCAGAGAACCAGGAGAACCTCTGCAGTAGAACGGACCCAAACCTTCAGCAGTAGTAGAACCATTAGACAGGTTCAGATTATTCTGAGTTCCACAGCAGCCAACCTCAGTGGACCTCCTGATCCATAAAAACATCGGGTCAGAACCTGGATCTGATTTGGGAAAAAAAATAAATAAATAAATATTAAAATAGAAAGAAATATCACCTGCTGAGGAAACCTGTTCTCTCTCATCCACTCCAACTCAGATGTTCTCCCTTTAGAACCAGAACTTCTGCAGCCCAGATGCTAATGGTCATTCCTGCAGGAGACAGGGGCCTCTGTATGTGGGCCCCTACGTTATGGAACGGCCCCCTTCTCTAACTCACTGGTCTTCATCCAGTTGAGGTCAGATTCACCTTCAGACGTTTTATCGTTTCTCTGAGATGTTTGATTGTTCCTGAACCTGAGTGTCTCCTCACAGACGGCCTCTTCAGCAACACGCTGGTATCTGCTGACACACATTCATCACTCGTCCAGATCTTCATCTCAAAATGTTCTTCAGAAGGTTCTACTTCATAACCATGTCCACCGACCAGAGATCAACACGCGGCACAAACACCCAGAAATTGAACCACTAACCCAGGTTCTGTTCCTGTGGGTCTGGAGGTTCTGTTCCTGTGGGTCTGGAGGTTCTGTTCCTGTGGGTCTG